CCTCATATGCATACGAGAGCTGGACAGTGAATAAGGAAAACTGTAGAAGAATTGATGCCTTTGAGTTATGTGTTGGAGGAGATTGTTGAAAGTGCCATGGGCTGCTACAAGAACCAACGGATCCATTTTGGAAGAAGTGCAGCCCGAGTGCTCCTTAGAGGCCAACATGACCAAATTTCGTCACTCATACTTTGGACATATTGTCAGGAGGGACCAGTCGCTGTAGAAGGATATCATGTTTGGTAAGATGGAGGGTGAGCGAAAAAGAGGAAGATCCCCAACGAGATGTATTGGCCAAGTGGCAGCATTGATGGATTCAAGCATGGCAACAGTAGTGAGGTTGGCCCAGGATCACGCAGTGTTTCGTTCTGCCATGGTTAAGATTAGTATGGGTCAGTACCGACTTGATGGCACCTAACAACAACAACGCTACCAGGGCTCCTTGGAATGAAAAATGAAGGGTAGAGGTGGAGAAATGCTTAGATTCTGAGTACGTTTTGAAGGTAAAAAATTAAATGTTGAAACTGAGAGAAAGAGAATAGTACATGATGAACTTAAGGTTGTGGCTGTGAACAGTTACACGAATTAATACCTAGTGTAGTGGTTACGAGTCAGGCTTCAAACCTCAGGGACATCAGTTCAAAACTACCAGCTGTTCCGCAGGAGAAAGATGAGGCTTTCCGCTCCCGTAAAAATTTACAGCCTTGGAAACCCTGTACAGGGTCGCTATGAGTCTATAGACATCACAACAACAATATGTATAAAGTGCTCAGCCTGGAGCCTGGACCTACTAGGTGCTCAAAAATGGTGGTTCCCTTCCTCACAATTATATTGTATAAAAAGGATTGTCCTTCCCTATACCCATACCAGCATATAGAATGTTTCACCAGAACAACTAGATAATAACTTACCACCTTTACTTGAACATTGAAATTCTGGATAAATCACTCCATCTCCCTAACAGAAATAAAAGTTCACATTTTTCCATGTAACCATAATACAGTAATGCTAAGGACATTAATAGTAATAAAACATAAGAAAATATCTGATATTATGGAAAAATAATGTCCATTTTTCCCTCTCTCAGGATGCTGCCTTATGGCTGTTTAGCAACAGGAGACCGCTCTGGCCTCATCGAAGTAGTGAGCACCTCTGAAACAATTGCCGACATTCAGCTGAACAGTAGCAATGTGGCAGCCGCTGCAGCCTTCAACAAAGATGCCCTTCTCAACTGGCTTAAAGAGTACAATTCTGGGTTAGTTTAGTCGGTTTGAATATCAGTGTTCTTTACAGAGAGCTAAAGTAATAACTGTGTACCCAATAAGAATCAACAGTGTCTTAGGGGAAATATTAGTATTGCTTATTTATTGTTTTAATCTATACACATCTTCTTAAACTTAAGAGGGTTATCATTGAATTCTACTTTATTTACACCAAATTTTAGAACCTTGCAGTATAATATTACTATCTAAGAGTATAAATGTTTTTAAAACAGTACATTAAAGTTTTTAAGTACATTAGCTTCTATAATTATGTAGCGGTATGAACTAAGTTTTGAATAGATTACTCTAATACAAGTAAAATGAGTTTGTAGACTGTGGTCTCTAAACTAATCTTAAAAAAAAAAAACACCCATTTTTAGAACTGTTTTATATATATGGTTACAGTATTATAAGCACACTGATACATAGAAATGAAAGGAATTCTCATTGGGATGGGGAAAGTGTTACAAGTAGTTTTGCCTAAAGACTTTTAAGTAACAACACTCAAAAGTTTTCACTGAGTAGATACAAGGACTTACTATGTGGAGAAATTGGGCTCCAAGTTTTTATAATCTTCTCTAAAGATTTGCCCTACTTATTTAAGTGGTTTTAACTATAGTACATAACACTTAAACATACCATTCTAGTCTTTAGTCAAAAGTTAACAAAAATGTTCCAATGCCTCAGCATCGCCGAATAAAATCCATGTCTCCTCCCATTGCTGTGTACATACATGCCCCTATCCTTCCTCCCAACTGATGCACAACACTCCAAACACAGACGTTTCAATGGCAGAGGCAGAGTTACATGGTGCTTTTGATGCTAGCAAGCTTATCCTTTTGCCCTGCTCCTGTGATCATGCTGACTCCCGTGGTTGATTCAGCATGCTCTGCTCATGTGGTTTGGGCTGTATATTGTAGTTCACAGTTCAAAAGGACACAGCTGTGCCCATTGACTCTCATACCCCTGCATTTGGAGGCTGAAAATATTTGTTGCTTCTTCTCTTGTTTAGGGATGACCTGGACCGAGCTATTGAGGAGTTTACCCTGTCCTGTGCTGGCTACTGTGTAGCTTCTTATGTTCTTGGGATTGGCGACAGACATAGTGACAACATCATGGTTAAGAAAACCGGTCAGGTGAGCTGCTCCCTGAGGTCTGTCAAAGACCCTAGTGATGCCATGACACATAGCATCTCTCGTGAAACTCAGGTGGATTCTTTAGTCATTGTCAGAATCATGTATTTGTCTTTCCTTCATATGTCCCTTGCTTTACATACCATGTGCTTCATATATCCATTTACTTGTTCAAAATTACATGGTACACATATGTTTAAAAAATCTGTACTTATTTGAAAGTGACCCCTTCAAATACAAAAATTAAGAATTGAAGGAGCAGATGCTGTGCTGGGTGTATGAATGTCACAAAAAAAAAAAGTTATTTTAAAAAAAACAACAACTGGGAAATATCTGGGGAAAAGGGAACATGAAAAATAATCATTTTCGGTAAAAATCATTTATATTAAGCAACGTTAAAGGAGATTTTTTGGGTAAATTTTCAATATACGCATACCGGAGTCACAGTGTGACATTGTAGGATCAGCACTTAACTGTTAATTACAAGATCGGCAGTTCAAACCCACCAGCTACTCCTCAGAAACCCTATTTGGAATCAACTCGACAACACTTAACAAAAACAGATGCATACCAAAAGGAAAATTTCTGGGTTCATGTGTAAACTTTTGACTCTAGGTGAAACCCAGAGTTTTATACCTCCTGAGAAAGATTTTAGATAATTCTAGTTTGGGCTTTGAGAGTTTGCCCAGGACATAAGCACCAAAGTGTGGTCTACCTGTCAATGCACGCTTTCTCGATGAATGTTAGACCCAGCACTTTTGAAGGCCCTGCTTGAACCTTGTAACCACAGCATCTACACTTAAAAGGATTCCTTTAGAAAATTGAAAACATTGGTTAATTTCCATGCTTTTCCTGGCACCCCTTTGAAATGAAACCTGTACATAGAGCAAGATGCAGCTGTTCCAATAGAACAAGGGAACAATGAATAGTTTAAAATTTGGAAAGGTGTGCATCAGGGTTATTATATTCTTTCACCATACTTATTCAATCTGTACAATGAGCAAATAATCAGAAGCTGGATTATATGAAGAAGAATATGGCATCAGGATTGGAGGAAGACTCATTAACAACCTGCGATATGCAGATGATACAACCTTGTTTGCTAAAAGCGAAGAGGACTTAAAATACTAATGAAGATCAAAGATCATGGCCTTCAGTATGGGCTTTCTTTACCTCAGTGTAAAGAAAACAAAAATCCTCACCACTTTACCGAGAAGTAACATTAAGATAAGTGGAGAAAAGATTGAAGTTGTCAAAAGACTTCATTTTGCTTGGATCAGCCATCAACACAGATGGAATCAGCAGTCAAAAAAATCAAACATTGAAGAAAGACCAGCAGGAAAAATACAAAACAATAACAGCAGTCCAACTGATTACTACAAGAATAAGCAAGTTGCTCGCCCAGGAGACATGAAGTCAAGTGGTCGGGTCCCCTCAGGGCAAACCCCCTTCCAAGACTAAGACTCAGTGGGAATACACAAGCAGACATGCGCTCTGATTGGTGACCATGTTTATCACCAATAAGGGGAAGTGAGGGAAAAACAGCAATGAAGCTGCAAGCTAAGCCCTACAATGTTTCATAGACTCCTGTGAACCCGGGTGGAGACCTGGTTGGCCAGTAGTGTGGCAAGACCTGGGGACTCTTGGGCCCAGAGTCACTGACATAGCCACAGAGGACTAGAGTGGAGAGTGAAGAATCCAGCTAATAAGAAGAGCTGGCAAGGACACATGCATAAGAACACCCACACTTGCAGATAATACCCACTTGACCTGGCTTCAAAGTAATTTGATACAATTTGATGAACTTGACCTACACCAAAGGATGCGGTAACTTACAAGAGGAAACAAATCTTTACAGCGAGGATCATTCCCACCCCCTCCATACACAGAGTAAACAGGGATGGGCCACTTGGACATTGGCTACCCAAAATGGGGGGTCTACAAAGACAAGAAATGACTCGCTTACAAGCTTTCAAGAGGGAGCCTCGATCTAGAGGGCTCAGAGGAAGGTAGAACCCTACCCAGAGAGCAGTGACGCCAGAGATGGAGGCAGAGACGATGACCCAGAGAGGGAGAGGAGCTGTGTGCTGATGACCGGGGAGCAGGCTTGCTGTTGGTTGGTTGATGATGCATGGAGGGGATTGTAACCATGGTAATGAAAGAATATATGGTAGTATGAATGTAAAGCTAATGTTCTCCCATGTAAACAGTCACATAATTCTCAGTAAAACATTTAAAAAAAAAAAAAAATCAAACAATATATTGCATTAGACAGATCTGCTGCATAAAAGACCTCTTTCTCTTTAAAGTATTCAAGAGCAAAGATGGCAGTTTGAGGACTAAGGTATACCTGACCCAAGCCATCGTGTTTTCAAAAGCCTCAAATGCATATGAAATGGACAATGAGTAAGAAAACCATAGAAGAATTGATGCATTTGACTTTTGGTGCTGCAAGTGTTGGAAGAAGTATAGCTAGAATGCTCCTGGGAATCCAAGATGGCCAGACTTAATCTCTCATACTTGGGACATATTGTCAGGAGGAACCAGTCCCTGGAGAAGGACATCATGCTTGATAAAGTGGAGGGTCAGCAAAAATGGGAAAGACACCCAACAAGATGAATTGGCCAAGTGGCAGCAACAGTGGGCTCAAGCATAGCAACAATTATGAGATTGGCACAGGACCAGGAGGTGTTCATTCCATTGTGTTTAGGGTCTCTATGAATCAGTCCCAACTTAATGGCACCTAACAACAGCAACTCTGAAATGATAATAAGGAATGTTAAAGTGCCGTCAAGTCAGTATCCAACTCACTGCAACGCTGTATAGGGTTTCTGAGGAACAGCTGGTGGGTTTGAACTGCCAACCTTGTGATTCACAGTCCAGCACCGTTCCAGGACATATTGTGGTAGTGAAAATTTTCTGTCGACTGGGCCAGAATTCTCAGTGATTTGGCAGTTTAGATATAGCTATTCCCCATGATGCGATGATAAACCAGTAAGAGGATTAAGTGTGTATGGGTTGTTGGTAAGTGCAGTGGAGCTAGTTCTGACTCATAGCGACCCTGTATAGGGTTTCCAAAGAGCAGCTGGTGAGTTTGAACTGCCAACCTTGCAGTTGTGGTCCAGTGCTTCATCCCACAGCCCCACACTAGCATCCTACCTGTAATCCCATTATCACCCTGATCTGATTTATGGAATATCCTTCAAGGTGTGCCATGCAACACCTTTTATCTTGCAAGAGATAAAAGGAGAGAGACTTGAGCTGAGAGTGGAGTGCTTTGGACCTCAGGTCCCTCCACTGTGAAGCTCCTAGATCCAGGGAATGTTGGGCCTACAGATGGCTGAAAGGAAACAAGGACTTTCCCGCCAGAGCCCACAGAGAGAAAGTCTTCCACTAGAGCCAGCTCTCTGAATTTGAACTGCTAACCTCCTAAACTGTAAGAGGATAGATTTCTGGTTGTTGAAGGCATCCACTTGTGGTTTTTCTCTTACAGCAGCACTAGATAACAAAGTACATACATCAATAGACTCGGGGGATGACAGAAAGTAATATAATGAAGTGGTAATGACTTAGCAGAGCTGGGAAAATAGAATCCTGAGTATTTGTAAAAAGGATGTCAGTCTAAGAAAAGCTCTAAACTCAGAGACACCAGGTATTGTTGAAGGCAGAGATTTAGGAAGAGACTAAAAACAGATTGGTTAGCAGTTTGTATTTGAAGCATTTAGGTGCTCAAGTTCTTTCACCAAGGAGAGGGAAAATGTTTTCTCTGAAGAAGTATGTTCTCCTGACCCAAAGACACCAGGTTCCACAGAGACTCAGGAGAATATTCCATATTAAAAAAAAAAAAAAAAAAATGGAAAGAAAGTGAAACTTGTCAAACTAAATGTTGTGATACCCAGCCACTTTGCCCAAGAACTCTGGAAGCCAGCTCTTTATCTCCTTGGCAAGAGACTAGATGAATGAGAAGACCTGGCAGCTGAGTACTCTCCCCAGGTGAGGTCTTTCTTCAGTCACTCTTTAAGGAATCCCACCAATCAACAAGCCTACCATATGCATGACCAGTCAAGGATTATCACAAATTTGAAGGAAACTTCCATCATGAAAGATAAATGGCAATAGAAAAAGAACAAACTCTAGGAAAAATGTAGTAAACAGTAAATAATTAAAATGAGAAAAGAAGACCTCACTTGAGTCCTGGTGTGGCACTGTCTGATCAGTACTGGACCGCTGACCACACACAGGGTCGGCAGTTAAAATGCACCAGCTTATCCTAAGAAACCCTATACAGTGTTTCTGAGTCTGAACATACATGATGGTACTTAACATTTAAAAAAAGAAAGTAAATTGAAAGCGTTTATAGAAATTATTAAGAACAAATACAAAGTTAAAATAGAAGCAGTGTAAATAAAAAGTAGCTAGTACAGACTGTGAACCACAAGGTCAGTGTTTCAAGCCTACCAGCTGCTTTACAGGAGAAAGATGAGGCTTTCTGTTCCCACAACAATTTAAAGTCCCAGAATCCTAATATGAGGTCGCTATGACTCATTGCAACTCTGTAGGGTTTCCAAGGAAGCAGCTGGTGGTTTGAACCACCAACCTTGTGGTTAGCAGTCCAGTGTTTATCCTATTTTGGCCCACACCAGGATTGAAATCATAGCCATTTGGCTCAGAAACAGAAAAGAGAAATGGGATGAACTTAGCAAGCATTTCTCAGAGCTGACATTCATGAATGTCCAGTCAAAAGAATATAAAATTTCCTCACAGTAGTTTAAAAAGACCCATGCTAAGACCTTCAACCATCAGATTTTAATGCATTATACATAGGGGAGTTCTTAAAAGCTTCCCAGAAAACCTAAATGCCCATCAGTGAATGGATAAACAAAATGTGATACATACATGCAATAGAATACTACTCAGTATGAGAAATGAAGTATTAATTTATGCTACAGTATGAATAGAGTCCTGGTGTGGTCGTGCATGCTAAAGCATTGGACTGCAAGGTCAGTGTGAACTGTAAAGTAGGCAGTTCAAGTTCACCAGCCACTCCTCAGAAACCCTATACAGGGTCTTTATGAGTCAGAACTGACTTTACAACAGTATGGTTGGAACTTAAAGACATTATACTGAGAGAGAGAGCCAATCAAAAAGGACAGGTAGTGGGTGGTCTCAGTTATATAAAAATACAAGAAAAGATAAATGTATATATAGAGATCAAAGATTGTTAATGGTTATTAATGCAGGAAGGGAGGGGGGAAGGATTTACAGTAATGGAAAAATTAAGGTAGGGTTACACAGCTATTATAATTGTGGCTAAGTTCTAAATCTGTAAAAATGCTAATGGGCAAAAGTAGTGTAATATATATACTTACAGCAATGACAAAACACAGCTGCCAAGGCTATGTATTTACAACCAAACACCCATAGGCTTTGGTTCCTTGGTTTGGAGGTAATTTAGGGTCATGGTTTCATGGGACATCTTATTAACTGACCCAATGGGTTTAGTGCTCTGTTCTACCTCTCAATTCATAAAGTTGTGTCCAGTGCCTTAAAAGCTTGCAAGTAGCCATCCAAGCAAGGCACAATAATTGGCGTCTGTTCACCTGGAACAATGGAGGTCCGAGAGTCAAATATAGGGAGAGGATACGCAGTGTGTGACTAATTGCCTTCATGAACCATGAGAACAAAAGAACTGGATGATACCCAGCTACCATTACTGAACATTTTCTTCAAAGATTCTATAGAAGAATCCTTATCAAAAGGAAGGAAAATCCAATGGAATTTGAAATTCTCATGGACTCTAGACTTTTTGAAGCTAAGAAGGCTGGATGAACCCATGAAAATATTGCCTTGAGATCATCTTTAGACCTTAAAAAGAATATATCCTCTGATACCATCTTAAAACCAAGCAGCAGTTTAAAAAAATAAGAAAGAAAGGTCTCTCTTGAGCATTATGCTCTTTAAGACCTATATGGGATCAAATTGACAACTGCAACGCAAAAGATTAATAGAAACCTTAGAGGGTAGTGAATTTATGTTAATAAGGGAAGAGCAGTTCAGATATGAAGAGTGAGAATGTGCTCAGTGTCACTGAATTTTCCATGTAGAAACTGTTGAATTTGTGTATGTTTTGCTGTGTATATCCTCAATAACAATGATAGTGTATTTTTTTTTAAGTAAACAATAAACCTCTAATAAAACAAATAAGAATAAAAATTTTGTAGAACAACTACCCAGAGACAGACACAGCAGGCCATGCACTAGGCAGGGTTCAGAAGTCAGAACCTGACACTTGACGTCTCAATATAGCATCATTGGAAATTGTGACAAGGTTAGGGCAAATGATTTCTAATCTAGAATTCATAACTAAACTATCAACTATGACAGTAGAATAAAGATATTTTCAAACACATAAGGTCTCAGAAGGCTGTCAGAATAAAGGCATCCACCAGAACAAGGTTCTAAACCAGTAGTTCTTAAATGAAGTTGTTTTGTGTCCTTCCCCCACTGCTTCACACCAATACATTTGTCTGTCTAAAGACAATTTCTGATTGCCACAACTGAAAGCTATGTTACTGGCACCTAGTGAGTAGAGACTAAGGATGCTGCTAAATATCCTCAGAACAAACAATTATCCGGCCCAAATACTAGTAGTGCTAAGGTCTAAATGATGACTTAACCCAAAGGAGAGTGTGATGTGGAACTCAGGTACCGGGGTATGCATGTGAGAGAAGAATGAAGGGATCTCCGAGGACGATGGCTCTGTGGCAGACCTAGAGAGCAACTGACTCAGATGGGACTTACTGATTACCTGGTCATGTGGAAATAGTTTTTAAAATGGATCTTGAGGAGAGTGAGAAGAATTGATGGTAAATACAGAACACTAAGCCAAGAAAAAACAAATTATTTTCTTCCGGAAAAAAAAAAGATGAACAATAGAAGAAATGTAATCATAGTATATATCAGTCACATGGTTCAGCATTGAAATATACGTACATGATCTAAACAGTATAAATACCAGAAATTATAACTTAACAGCATGCTATATGATATAATAAGAGTGCTAAGTTTTTATCTTCTGTGATAGGAATTGCTGTTGTAGAGTCAGTTCCAACTCATAGCAACCCTGAATAGGGTTTCCAAGGAACAGCATGGGTTTGAACCACCAGCCTTGTGGTTAGCAGTCCAGTGCTTATCCTATGGTGCTGCACCAGGACTCCATAGTAGGAATTTATTTGTTGTTATAAAGTGCTGTCAAGTAGGTTCCAACCCATTTCAAATGAGGGCATAGTACTCTGAATAGGGATTCCAAGGAGTGGCTGGTGAGCTTGAATCACTGACCTAGGGGTTCAAACCAACCTTGCAATTGAGCACAGTAACCCACGGCACCACACCAGGACTCCATAATGGGAATAGTAATCTACTATTAAGAAGTAAAAGCAAATAACAAACTTGTTATTTAGGAAAATGAAGGTAAACTCTACTCCAGAGAAAGCAGGGAAATACGTGGGGGAGAAGTTACTTCTAAGTAGTTAGCACTCGGGGAGAAGTTACTTCTAAGTAGTTAGCACTCAAATTGAGTGAGCTGGTGGGCAAGAAATTACTCTTTTTCATTATGTGTAACTATTTGACCTTTTTAAATTTTTCCTTTCTACTGGATATATACAGTTTAATTTTAGGGTTTGAAACACTAGTATGAAACACTTTCTCTTAAGACACAGAAGAGCTCAGGTGAGGGGCTTCTTGGACTGCTGAGAGCTTGCCCTTTATTAGGAATATATTAGAAAAACAAGGAAAATTGAATCTCATTTGTTTTCCAGCTGTTCCACATTGACTTTGGGCATATTCTTGGAAACTTCAAGTCTAAATTTGGCATTAAAAGGGAGCGAGTGCCTTTTATTCTTACCTATGATTTCATTCATGTGATTCAACAAGGAAAAACAGGAAACACAGAAAAATTTGGCCGGTGAGTATTGTCCTTGTGTCCAAGCTAAACTCCTCTACCACTTTCTCATTGGGTCAGTTGGACTAGTATTTCCTATGCTGCAATGTAATTGGATCTGAGAGGTGAACCATCTGCTAATAAGAGACTTAAGGAGGAAATTTGCCTGTCAGATCCATGACAGGAGAAGCCAAGAATGTTAGAAATATGAAATAAGTTACTATGTTTTATTCTAACAGTATTCCACCATTTGCTTGTTTCAACAAATTCTCTGTAACTTTAAAAACACTGATCGTGAGATGCTTAGAGAACAGGCATGTTCCTGTCATTCTGTTTAGAGTATAGTCAGAGAGCCAGAGCTCAGGGATTTGAGGAAATTTTCAGTCTCTGGTTTATGCCTCAATACCTGCATATTCTCAAGCATTTATATACGTCTTTTTGCCTACGTTTCTTCATCTTCAAATGAGGGCAAAGATAATTATAATGATGTGGCTGATACAAACCATATGCTTAACAAATGACCACTGCTATCATTTCTAGTACAGCCTAAATTTATGCAGAATATACCTGTGTCCAGTTTCCTATTTGGCGTAATAAGGGAGATGTGATTAGATGGTTCTTTTGAAGGACCATCTTAAAGAGAAAGAGGAGCAAAGTCCAGAAGACCAGACCCATCAGTGCAAAAGCACTCATGGATTTGGTGGGACCATTAGAGAAGTTAATCTTTCTACCTAATCAGACACCAGAATCTAACCATACTCAGAAATCAGTCTGGATTCCCATTATCACTTAGTTTGTAATCAGTTCGTATGTCTCATAGAATGAAAAGGCCTAAGTGCTGCAGTATAATGCACTGGGCCACCAGGGCAGTTTGAATCATAAGGTCTTTGGTTTAAACTCACCAGCAGATCCTTGGAAACCCTATACAGGGTTGCTATGAGTAAGAACTGACTCAAGGGCACTAAACAACAACTAAGTGTAATATATTGTCTTTTGCAAAGAATTTTAATTTAGTTTTGAAAAAGATGATTTTAGAGAGCCTGAATTATGTTACGTGTTTTAGTACTGGGACAGTTTTCAAAATAAAAATTAGAACTGAGCCTTTAGCTCAGTAGAACATTTCCAGCTATGTAGTAGAAAATCTAGATGTGTATCATCCTTTTCTTTGGTGAAGTGTTGTACTCACTCTAACACTACCTCCATGTAATTCCCTGCATAATGAAAGGTTCCGCCAGTGTTGTGAAGATGCATACTTGATATTACGACGGCATGGGAATCTCTTCATCACTCTGTTTGCACTGATGTTGACTGCAGGGCTTCCTGAACTCACATCGGTTAAGGATATTCAATATCTCAAGGTATAAAACCCCCCCTTTTTTATATGTTGGATATGGAGTTTGGTACGTCTACCTATTTAATTCAAATGCTTAAAGGCAGTGAAACAAAGACACTTCCTTTGAATCTTTGCCAGGAGAAATCTCGGAAGATCCTATAAAGGAGCAATTTTGAAAAAGGATCTTACTGTCCAGATGATTTCCCACCAGTTGTTGTTAGGTGCCATCGAGTCAACACCAACTCATAGGGACCCTATGCACAACAGAACAAAACACTGCCCCGTCCTGTGCTAACCTCATAGTCATTGCTACACCCAAGCCTATCGCTGCTGCCACAGTAACAGTCCATCTCATTGGGGGTCTCTTTCTCTTTTTTTTCTGACCCTGCACTTGACCAAACATGATGTCCTTCTTCAGGGACTAGTCTCTCCTGATAATATGTCCAAAGTATGAAAAATGAAGTCTGGTCGTTCTGGCTTCCAAAAAGCCCTCTGGTTGTACTTCTTCCAACACCGATCTGTTTGTTCTTTGGCAGTCCATGGTACTTTCAGTGTTCTCCTCCAACACTGTAACTCAAATGCATCAACTCTTCCACAGTCTTCCTTACTCACTGTCCAGCTTTCAGGATCGGGCACACCTTAGTCCTCAAACTGACATCCTTGCTCTCCAACACTTTAAAGAGGTCTTATGCAGCAGATTTGCCTAATATAATACATTGTTTGATTTCTTGACTGCTGCTTCCATGAGTGTTGATGGTTGATCCAAGCAAAATGAAGTCTTTGACAGATTCAGTGTTTTTTCCATTTATGTATATTATATGTTCATGGTCCACTGGTGTGGATTTTTGTTTTCTTTGCATTGAGAAGCAACCCATACCGAAGGCTTGTGGCCTTTGATATTTATCAATAAGTATTTTAAGTCCTCATTTTCAGCAAGTAAGGTCGTATCATCTACATATCACAGGTTGTTAATGAGTCTTCCTCCAATCCTGATGCCACGTTTTTCTTCATATAATCCAGTTTCTTGGATTATTTGCTCAGGATACAGATTGAATAAGTATGGTGAAAGAATATAACCATAGCACACAACTTTCCTAATTTTATGCCATTCGGTTTAAATTCCACCAGTATAAAGAGCTTAAAGAAAGTTGATAATTAGGCAGGGATCTCCCTTTCCACACACTGGAAGAATAAGGATTAGCACTTTGCTTTTCAGTCACCTGAATATTTTCCTTCCTGGGGTCTTACTGGGTCTTGTGGAGTCATTGGATTTGGATCTTTGCAGGAAGCAACTGAGGTGTTTTGTAGTGAGTTACAAATTTATTTCACCTTAAGAAGCCTTGTGCCAGCAGTCACTGTACCTTGGTGTTACAGCAGAACACATGCACACTGCCCGATAGGATGCAAGACTGAGCCATCTCTACACAGTGACATCCACACATCACTATCAAGCGTATATAAAAATCACATTTTTTCCCCTTCATTTTTAGGATTCTCTTGCCTTAGGGAAGAGTGAAGAAGAAGCACTCAAACAATTCAAGCAAAAATTTGATGAGGCACTCAGGGAAAGCTGGACTACTAAAGTGAACTGGATGGCCCATACAGTTCGGAAAGACTACAGATCTTAACGGTCAGCCTTGCTCCTAATGTATTTGTTGGTTTTGTTTCATTTTCATTTTGCATTTGCACTAAATTGAACATGACCTTGCCAGAGATGTTATAAAGGGAATGAAATCCTGGAATTCAGTTAAATAAGGACAAAGCATTCCACAGAACCCAACCTGAACAATCCCTGATGACCACCCTCTGCTTTTTGAATGCTTGACCGAGACTCATCATGAAAACTGTCAACATTATAGATAATCACTTCCTGCTGACTTTGCACGCCAAGGAATGCTACTAGTGATTTCTTTCGTCTTCTTTCTAGTGTTTGGTACTTTTACAGAAAGATGTAAATACTTCTTTTCAGTATTGGGCTGGTGGCTGTTCCTACTTTCCAAACAAGGCTTTAAAGAAGGTAATTTTTTTTTTCCCCCTTTTAAAATTGTGTAGGCTACATATTATGATATAATTTGAAATTATGATTATTTTTCAAAAGAAACCTGTGGAAACTTAATTTTTTGTTAGTATTTATCTACCATGATAGCATCATTCCAACTAGACTTGCTGAAAAATCTATGGTTGAGGTATATATATATATATATATTTATATATATATGTGTGTGTGTGTGTGTGCATATATATATATATATATATGTTTTATGTATATATGTATGTATCACATGTATTTATAGTATTCTAGTAGGAGTTCTGTGTGAAGATGTGTCTTTGATTTTCTTTAGCTTTAGTATTACAGTTTTACAAAAAACAAACCCTACTTTTCCCTAAGTTACTTTCTGTTAACTGTGTGATCCAGTTCTTCCAGCTGCTTCTGTAATGAGGCACATGTTAATACAGTTTTTACATGGTATCTATGAAAGACTTCACTTCTTACAGCATAATATTTGAGCTAATGTGTTCAAGAAAGAAAGCAAATGAAAAGGAACCTCTTTATGGAATAAACTTCAAATCTGAAAATCCAGTATTTTATTAAAATGCCAGCGGTTCTTACTGTATTTATTAAAACTTGTAATAATGTGATTTTTTCAAAGATATTAGTTTGAATTGAAATAGTTCTATGCCACATGGGATTCTTTAATTTATTTGTTGAGGTACCATACATTTAGGGTGCTAGATGGCAAATAATGTTAATATGTGCAATAGGAACTACTGGTTTGAATGTGTAAATGAATTCTCTTTCTGGGTATTGGCAACATCCAGCAAAACTGCTTATTCTCCAAAGAGTATTGCGAATTCTCATTCCTCAATGACATGGGAAAGATAACTGAGTGATTGCCCTGTGAATGAGTTTTCTATAGGAATTTTATTAAAGATTGTTTAATTTTGTTGTCCTTCTTAATGTTCTCAGTCAAATAAATGGGTGAGCTGGTTTAGCTGCTCTTGGGATTTGTAGGCCTCTTCTTTATGGGCAACACGGGCCTTTGGATCTCAGCAGGGGACTCTACGAAATGACAAATCAATCTCAGAAGTCAGCTGATATCTCTTCCTGGACTTCTCTCCTTGCATCCCAGCCCCACAAGACAGTCTGGCAGCATATGTTAGACTTTTATCAACCCTGTGAAGAGAGGCTTCTGTACCTTTGGGAGGTATCCATAGGTCTGGGATAATGTCCCTTCACCTCCTTCCTCAGCACTCAAATCAAGCCCAAGCTACAGCCACTTTGGAGTTCTAGACCAGACTCAATGTGAATTCCAGGAATAAGACTTATGTAGTCTTATGTGTGTGTTCTCTGAGATCTTTGTTCAAGAGCAGTTCACCCTTATACCCACCAGGTCACAGGTCAGAGGTTGGTGAGAGGTGAATACTGCCAGACAGAAGTGAGTACCACTGTTGCCAGAGGAGTTTCCTCAGGCCAAAGAAGGACTTGATAAATGTATGCCAAATCAATATGAATGTGAATGTGTTCAGGAGCACAAAAGGGAAGTGAACTTCTCTGTATGTTCATGACATTGCTGACCCTGAGTTCAGGGTCCTTGACCCTCTCTTCCCCCACAGCGATAGCTAGGACAGTGAATGCAGTAGCCCTCACTCAACAGCAGCTTCTCCCCATCCACTAGCTGAATTTCTCAGTACTGAGTTGGTACCTGGCTAAGCCAGAGAGGAGAAGGTGGGGAGGCGGAAGGCTATAGCCGACCTCCATACTGAGTTAGGCCCCTGGGCTACAGGAGCAGCTTTTTGTGTGGGACATGAGTTACTTCATGCCTCGGCTCTTGAGGGGCTTGGCCAACAATGGAACTTACTCTAAAACACCTGACTTCATGTTTTCTGCTCCTTTCCCAAGTTGCCCCCAAATAATGTCTTGAAACTTTTTATACATCTCCATGCTTGAGGACAGTGTTTGAGTTTGCATGGGTCTGGAGAGCTAGAGGCTAACTTTATTAAGCAAGGGATTCTTGAGTTGTAACCTCATACCTATAGGCAGACCCTGAACTCCAGAGGTCAAGACTTGCAGTCCAACTCTGCCTCTTTGACCCTTGAGTAAAGCTATTCGTTTCTCAGGGGCTGAGCCGCCTAATTTGTGAAATGAAGCTGATAATGCCGCTACCACTCCATTTTTGAGAATGAGAATGTAAGCCAAACCTTAAGTCAACACAAACTATCCTTTTCTTGAAGGCCAATGAAGGAAGGATCCTCTGGTAATGAAAGACCACCCAGAGTTCCCCCCTGTCTCTTCTGTGGGGAGATTCTATCAGCACAATCTCAGTTATTCCACCCACAATCCTGAGTGTCTTGAGTGCCGGACCTCAGCTTAGCAGTAATGCAGTTGTCACTTGTCTACAGAAGGTGAGATTAGTCATGGGGTAGAGAGGAGAGTTATTTCTGCTCTAAGATGTATATAGCTAATGGCATTTTGAAATCTATGATTCTTTTTCGACTTTTAAAGCCCAGGTTCAACAACTCAAGTTTGGCCTTTCAGACCCCTCTTCCCTTCCTGCCATATATATACACCTGTGTGTGTTTGTGTTCACGTTAAAGAATAACACCTAAAAGTGTTTACAACAATACCAACATATAACATTATCATCCTAGAGGAAACAGCCATATAATCACCACACAAGTCAAAAAAGAATATTGTCAACACCTCAGAAGCTCAGGAACCTCTCCCTACCTGCCAAGTCATCACTATCCCTATTTTTATGGTTCTCACTGTGATTTCTGTATTTTATTGTTCTGGGGTCAGGCTTCTTTTACTTGACATGTTTTCAAGGTATGTAGTAGTCCATTCTTTATCATCAGTGCTATCATATAGCATTCTATTTTAATTGCTTACTACAATTTACATATGCTTTCTATTCTACATGTATATGTTGATTCTACTTTGAGGCTATTACAAAGACTGCTGCTATAATCATTTATATCCTAGTTCTTATATTCATATTGTGGGGGGCACCATGGCTCCATATGATAAGCATTGACCTGCAAACCACAAGGTTGTCAGTTCAATTTCACTGGTTGTTCCACAGCAGAAAGATGAGACTTTCTGCTTCCACAAAGATTTTTCACCTCGGAAACCCTATACAGGGTCACTATGAGTTAGAACCAACTCAATGGCACTAAAACCCAAGTTCACGTATGTACAGATTTCTTTGAATGGGTCATGTCATTGAGTTGATTCTGACTCATAGTGAACTTCATAGGACAGAGGAGAACTAACCCGGAGGGTTTCTAAGACTGTAATCTTACAGAAAGAGGCTGCCGCAGCTTTATTCTGCAGTGGGTTTGGACCACCAACCTTTTGGATAGCAACCCAGTACTTAAGCATTGCATCATAAGGGCTCCTTTGATAGGTCAGGCATATCTTCAAGTTGACTCATTACTGTTCAGTGCTGTGACTCAGCAATTTGTATAAGCTTTCTTCGGAGTGGCTGGTGGATTTGAACCACAAACTTTGCAGTTAGCCATCCAGTACTTTGTCGGTATAAGGTCACTATGAGTCAGAACCAACTCTGTGCTTAGCACCACCACCACCACATACATTTCTTGTACATCATTTTTTTAGATTCCTGCGTGAGTCTCATTGTTGTTTATTCATAGCAGTGGGTCTCAAAATGTGGTCTCCCTAGCCAGGAACATTAGCATCACTTGTAAATTGACTAGAAATGCAAATTCTCAAGCCCTACCCTAGACCTATTGAGTCAAAAATTGGGAGTACAGCCCAGGAACTTATTTTAGCAAAGTTTTAACTACAGTTTCAGAGCAACTGATCTGTAGAAAGATTAACATTGTATTGAGAAAAACAACTTGTTGTTATTGTTGTTAGGTGCCATCGAGTCAGCACCAACTCATAGTGACCTTATGCACAACAGAACAAAACAATGTCCGATCCTGGGCCAACGTCACTACTATTGCCATACTTGAGTCCATCAATGCTGCCACTTGTCCAATCCATCTCGTTGGGGGTCTTCCTCTTTTTTGCAGAGCAAAACTACTAAGCTTTCTTATTTTTCTAGCAGTTTAGTTGTATAAACTATTTTGCTTTTGCATAGATCATCTACAAATAATGATGTCATTAAGTGCTGTCAAGTCAGTTCTGACTCATAACAACCCTGTATAGCATTTCCCAGGAGCAGCTGTTGAGCTCAAACCACCGACCTTGCAGTTCAAACCAACCTTGTGATCCAGTGCTTATCCTTCAGTGCCACACCAGGACTCCACAAATAATGATAGCTTTATTTACTTCATTGATTTCAAACTTTTTTTTTTTCCTTGCCCTTCTGCACTGATTAAGAATTCCCATGAGTTACACGACAAAATCCAACATCCATTCCTGATAAAAATACTCAACAAAGTAGGAAAGGGAAATTCCTCAACATAATTAAGGGTGTTTATACAAAACCAACAGCCAGCGTCACTCGTAATGGAGAGAAACTTAAAGCCTTCCCTTTGGTAACAGGAATCAGACAAGGATGCCCTTTATCATCACCACTCCTATTCAATACTGTTTTGGAAGTCTTAGCCAGAGCTATAAAGCAAGATAGGGACATTGTTGTTGTTATTGTTAGGTGCT